GCGCCCCAGGCGCTGTCGGGGCGGAGGGGGTGGGAGGTGAGTGTTGGGACGCAGCCCCCTCCGGGCTCCGGGCTCGTCACTGAATCCGGGAATGGTTTGGGTCGGAGGGGACCTTGAGGAGCCTCTCGTTCCAACCCCCCCGCACGGGCAGGGACACCTCCCACCGGACCAGGTGGCTCCGAGCCCCATCCCACCTGCCCTTGAACACTCCCGGGGAGGGGCATCCACAGCTGCCCTGGGCAGCCTGTGCCGGTGTCTCACCACCCTCACATGAAAGAATTTCCTCCTTATGTCTAATCTAAATGTCTCCGTTTCCAGTTTTATTCCATCACCCCCTGTCCTCTAACTACAGGCCCTGGTATGAAGCCCCTCCCCAGCTTCCCTGCAGCCCCTTCAGGCACCGGGAGGCCGCTGTGAAGTCCTCCCGGAGCCTTCTCTTCTCCAGGCTGAACAGCCCCAACTCTCCGCCTGTCTCCGCAGGAGAGGTGCTCCAGCCCTCGGATCATCTTCGTGGGCCGCCTTTGGACTCGCTCCAACAGCTCCACGTCCTCCTGTGCTGGGGGCTCCGGCACGGGACACATACTCCGGGTGGGGTCTCGTGAGAGCGGAGCAGAGTGAAGGGAGCACCCAGACTGGTCCTCAGCTCAACCCGAGCTGCTTAAAACTTCCAAGACATTTCTTCTTTCATCGGCTCTTTTCTGCAACAGCTACGTCTGTTTTTCCACAGCCAGACGATGACCCTTCCAGGTCTGCCCCAGCAGAGGGACAGCAGGTGAGCAAGGGCAGAGGGCTTCTCAGCACTCTCCCTTGTCACTTGCCTGAATTGAACCTGGGAGGTGGGTACCTTGCAAATGTTACTAGATGATTCACACTTCTTCCTCTGCACTTGGAACTGGGAAAAGCTCTGTTTTAAAACCCACCGTGGTGCTATCTTAGGGCCACCGTGACACATTCTGCAAGGCAATGCAGATATTCAGGGGCACTCAGGGTTGTATGGTCAACCAAAATGCCCCCTGAGAGGTGCTCAGTCCATACTCTACTGGTAGCAGTCGGATGTCTGACTCACGGGGTGGCCTTATCTCAGCATCCATACTTTTAAATCTTTCTCATTTTTCAGTGCTGTCTCATGTACCACGAAGCAGCATTTACTCACCTTGCTGCTGTCATTTTCCCTGCTCTCCAGATCAGTGTGTCTAGACAGGGAATTCCAGCCCCCAGGCACTCACCGATCACCCACAGCTGCTTCCAGGCTCCTAAGGGGCTTGTCCTGCAGCCTGTGCTGGCAAGGGCTACACCTACACTCCCAAGCCTCCTGATGGCAGTGGCTGTGGAGGGAAAGGATGTTCTGGAGGGTTTCTGTCTCACATCTCATGAAAGGGTGATGTGTTGCTGAGGAATCACACTGGGCTTTGTGTTGCAGCAGTCGCATCACGCAGGGCTGCGACAGGGAAAGCACAAGCCACAGGCAAGGAATTTATCTCCATTGTAACTCATCACTCATAGTTCCTCCTGCTGTTAGGTGATAAGTCGGGGTGGACCTGAGCAAGAGCAAATGTCAACCCATTTAGTGTCAGGAGCATAGGGCAGGTTGAGGTCCATGAGCAGGAAGAATAATTGGGAAGGAGAAGGACTGGCTCAGGCAGAGAGCCTGGAGAAACCCCTGGGGCAGGAAGGAAGGAGATGACCCAAACTACAAAACTGTGGAACAAAATCCTGAGGGAGGAAATGGATGGTGGTATCAGTGGCTAGAGAGGAAGAGAGCAAGCAGGCTCAGGCATGAGTTAGAAATGAGAGGGAAGAGCAGCGGCCAGTGAGGGAAAATGGGAGGAGACAGGCTACGTGGTAGGTAAGGAATTGTTGGGATAGGAGAGAGAATGTATGGTAACAACATGTTTACAGCAGTGGCAGGGGCAGGTGGTCAGATATTGCTGAAATGGACCCATTGCATAGAAAACTGGAGAGAGTCCCAGAATACCAGGTTGGAAGGGACCTCAAGAATCATCTCATCTGACCTTTCTTGGCGAAAGTGTAGTCTAGACAAAATGGCCCAGCATCCTTTCCAGCTGAATCTTGGAAGTGTCCAGTGTTGGGGAATCCGTCACTTTCCTGAGGATATTATTCCACTGGCTGATTATTCTCCTTGTAAAAAAATTTCCACTTGTGTCCAGTTGAAATCTCCCCAGGAGTAACTTGCACCCACTACCCCTCATGAGAGTGTCTATCTTTGTTGCTGCCCTTCAAGTACCAGAACATGGTGATGTGGTCTCTCCTAAGCCTTCTTTTCTCCAGACTGAACAAACCCAGTTTTCTCAGCCTTTCCTCATATGGCAGGCTTCCTAGTCCTTTGATCATCAGTAAGAATAAAGGGCAACTTCTAGATAACCCCAGCTAGGATCTCCAAAAGTCAGCTGGAGTGTGCAAAAATTAAGAGCTGTTGAACTGCCCTCACCTTGCTAACACAAGCCTGCTCCTCTGAGATGCTGCCTGGCTCACATGCCTTGGTCCTCATAAGCCAAATAATTTGGTTGCTTTCCTTCCTGCCTAGCAGTTCTGCATCCTGATAAAGCCCATTTGCTCTTCCTACATTAATTTTTTTTTTTCATTTTTTGGAGGCCACACAGTCCACATGACAACTCAGAGCCTCCTGACATCCCCTTCCTGGCTCTTGGTCACCCTGTGAGACCTGCACAGACACGCACCCGGGAGCTCACCCAAGCTGGTGGTTCAGTGGATACCCCCTGCAAAGCTGTGCAGGGCCACAAGCTGTGGGCATCTTTCCAGGGCAGGTTTGTCCAACTGCTGCTTTGCAGGGCTGGTGGGAGTTCAGCAGAGAAGAGGAAGTGCACAGAGATGTTTCTGCAGAGTTTCATTTTTCTTTTTTTTGGTCAGTGTTGCCTCTTGAGGTGATGGAAGAGAAAATAATGTAGTTACAAGAAGGGGAGTGTTCACCTCACCCCAGACTTGCTTCAGGATCATAAGCTTTGGGCTCATACTTTACCACTGCTTAAGGAACAGCAAGAGATGTTTCCAGCTGTCATTCCTTGTAGGTAGCCAGGTAGATGGAAAGCCCCAGAAATGTGAAGACCACCTGCCATTTTCTGGTGTTTGCAATTTTTTATTACACTTAAGAACTCTGTAAAGAGTGATGATGTTTTCTGAATATATGTGTCCCAGTAAGTTAGAGGGGAATAAGCACGGGTGACAGGCCAGGGGGATGGCCTCTGCCTCCTCAGACACTCTGAGGAGGTAACCTGGAGGAAAGAGGAGAGCCTGCTGCTTTGGCAGAAGTCCCCAAGGGCATGATGGTGTCCCTGAGGAGAGGCAGCATAAGCCCTTTGGCCTTTCTCTCAGGGCGAAATCCTGTCCCCTGAATCAGATGACAAGAGAGGATCCCCCACAAATCTCTTCCCCCAAAGCCCCCATCAAGAGCAGAGATTAGCCAGTTTAACATCTTCAAGTCAGTGTGTGAAGCTAACTTTAGGAGTAAACCATGGGGGGATACCACACCTTCCTCCCAGCCAGAGCTGTCTGGCTTAGACTTTTGTCACAAAAATCTCAAAAGATCAGATTTACTTTTTAACTAGAAGCTTGTTCAAAGATCACCATTTTCACTTTTGGCATCCATGTAAGTATGCAGAACTCCTGTTACAATTTAACAGGAGGCCCTTGGGGCCAACACAGTCCTTCAGATATGCCTGGCTATTTTAAACGGCATCATGTGCCATCTTGCACCTGCCCATCATCTCCCATGGACTGGACGTGGCCCGCTTGGCTCTGTGAGGGGAGTGGAGGTGATAGCCCAATGGAGCATCACCCTTGAACAGGAAGATGAGAAGCTGGATTGCAGTTCCCTCCACCAAGGACTTTAACTGCAGGGCAGCAATTCCAGCTGAACAATTCCCTGTCTGCTTTAGCTCTAGAGAGGCTTATTTTTAGTTTGTTAGTTATTTTTCATTGAGAGGCCCTTTCAGGTGTCCTCTGGGCAGGGCTGGATGTATCGCATACACTTCTCAGCAGTAGGTTACTGTTGGGAGAGAAGGCAGTGAAAGGATCCCCCCTTCACACTGCTGTGTTGTGCAAGAAGAGCAGCCACACTCCTGCACAGTCATAGAATCATAGAATGGTTTGGGTTGGAAGAGACCTTAAAAATAATCTACTTCCACCGCCACCCCCTCCTGACATGGGCAGGGACATCTCCGTCTCGATCAGGTTTCTCAAAGCCCGTCCAACATGGCCTTTAACACTTCCAGAGATAGGGAACCCACAACTTCCCTGGGCAACCTTTTTCCAGTGCCTCACTACCCTCATAGTAAATAATTTCTTCCTAATGTCTAAGATAAATCCACCCTCTTCCAGTTTAAGGCCATTGCTCCTCATCCTATCACTACATGCCCTTGTAAAAAGTCCCTCCCCAGCTTTCCTGTAGGTCCCCTTTAGGTGCTGGAAGGCTGCTACAAGCTCTTCCTGGAGCCTTCTCTTCTGCAGGCTGAACAACCCCAACTCTCTCAGCCTGTCTTTGTAGGAAGAGATGCTTCAGCTCCTGATCATCTTTGTGGCAGACTTGCTCCAAGAGCTCCATGTCTTTGTTATGCTGGGTACTCCAGAACTGGACATACTACTCCAGGTGGAGTCTCTTGAGAGCAGAATAGAGGGGAAGAATCACCCTCCTTGACCTGCTGGTCATGCTTCTGAGTCCTTCCCCAGGGCACCTACACCTTGCTCCATATTTTTTTCACTGACCTGCTTTGCCTTTTCCCAATGTTTTGGATGACCAACACAACATATTAAGTGATATGGCACTGGCCCTTTGCTCTGCCACGTGGGACACAGTGACACTACTCTCTCTTTGAGGGGTCTACTGGATTAGCTGTCCTTTTGACTTCAGAGAAAATTTGGCCCATCCAGATCTGATGGCTGTTGCTGTTTTCAAGAGATGATCTGTTCCTCCAGCCATTAACAAAGTTCAATGTACCACGTACACATTTAAACATTTTAAAAGCTTTGTTGAAAGGAACAGAAAGATGTTTGCCTCAAGAAAAAGTATGGTCTTCATTCAAAGTCCACTGAAGTCAACGGAAATTGACATCTGATCAGTGGGTCTTGGATGGGGTCTGAAGACCTTTCCCTCTTGCCTGTTTTTGTGCTACGTGTTTAATCCTTTCTATCAAAACCTGTTGTTAAGTTTTGCATTTTTTTTTTTTTTCAAATTACTGAAAATCTTCCAACCATCATCAAATGAACAATGAAAACATTTCACTGACTCATGGTATTTTGAAACAGCTTGATTCCTAAGTTTTCAGTATGAAAGTAAAACAAAGGATAATCCAGAGGAAAAATTACTGATTAAAACTTCATATCTCCTTGTTCAAGCTCCTGTTCAAGATGAGTTCTGATATGAGACATCACCCTACAAACAACAGGAGAAAACGAGGGAATCAAAATACCCTTGCTTGTCCCTGTAGCCAGCGATTGACTTTTTGTAGCCAAGTATTTTGCATGCCAGACCAGCGTCCATAGAAGAATGAGAGTACTTCCATGGGATTTACTAATTGGAAGTCAAGTCACAAAAGCATGATGGCAATGATAGCACTGCTCTTCAGCATTCTGTAACGAGGATGGAAAGCATCCTGTTTCTGCCCTTCATGGGGAAAAATACAAATGGTCAGTAGGGAACCTGAAAAAGGGAAGAAGAAACAACTCTGGAATTACTCACTGCAGCACATTTTATGTGGGGCAAAGCAGCGACCATCACAGTCTACATTGCATGTAACA